TTCTTCGACAATACTTTTCACATTATTGCATCGTGGACTTGTTTAGTGCCTTCCAGGAAAATTTAGGAAGGTTCAAAATTGAAAAGAGATAAAAAGAAGAAAATGGATGGAAATTAAAAAATAAAAAATCATACAGAACGTTTTAAGAAAGTTATTTGCAGTGCAATGCAAATGTTAATTATACGAGAAAAAGGAGCAAGTGTATTGAGGAGAATCTTAAAAATAAGAAACGATATGAAATTTTTTAAGGAAGTTATTTGCAACGTAACGCAGATGATAACAGAAAGCAGATCGCGATTACATTAGAAATAACGAAGAAAATTGCACATTGGATATCGAACAGCTTCGTAACACAATATAAAGCAATTTATGCGCGTCCATAAACAAGAAAAAACTAACGTTTCATAAAAGTTTAGTATCTGATTTAACCTGTTCCACTCGATCTTCTCGTAACCACATTAATTAGTATTCTCAGTTGTCTGAGAATCTAATAAGTCGCCCGAGAATGTGTATATCGCAGAAGGAAATCTTCGACAAGCATTAAACTGATCCTTTTAAATATTGATAAATGATACAAGCAAATACACAGTATAGTACTTAATTTTCTTCCACGGAATATCTCTGATATTTCTATTTTTAAATTACAATAATAAAAAGTACGTGATAAAAGTGTTTTTACTTTGGGTATTAATACTAACATTTGCATTTCTTCAAACATACTTAAATGCTTCGAAAAATGTCCTAAATTATGCTCGTATCGTTAATATTAGGTTTAGTCAAAAAGTTTCAGTCTTTTTATTTATCTTACAAATACACAAAAAGGCGGGAAAATTGTAGAATTCAAAATAATCATACGAGAACGCTGAAAACAAAAAGGACAGAAACTTTAGCATATCCTAAATAATTAAGTAAAATTCTCGGCTCTTTCCGTCGCTTTTCCACGATCTGAATGGCCTGTTGCCAGCAGCAGGAGGATAGACAAAAGGAACGCTCGGCGTCTCGCGAATAGAATTCTTTTTTCGTCGCTTCAGGCCTCCCTCTTTACGTTTCGAACGAAACTTTTGGCATCGTTCGTTAAATTCCGGGATCGTTGGTGAACGCTGCCAAACGTTTTGTGCCTTTTCTCAGCGTCTCCTAAATCGTCTATACAGCCTTCGAAAAATGCGAGATACGCGAATCGAAAGTTCTCGAAGCGAACGAGGAAAGAAAGTGTGCGTGTGTGTGTTGGATTTCGAAGCGGCTCGTCTTTTGTTCATCCAATATGTTCTAGCGATATTGTCTCGTCGTGTTGCAATAAATATTATGTATGCGTAACAGGAGCCAATAACCTGAGTTTCACTTTCTTTTTTTTTTTTTCGAAATATGATCGATAATAGAAGTTGATGTTCCTTCAAGATTAGACTGGGTGATTTCTTCTTTGCCATTCGTTAACTTGTCATGACGATTCCAGGCTTGAGAAATGGTTCTGGAGTTTCATTAAATTCTAGAAATTCGTATGAATCGCAGAAATTGATTTTAATTTTAGTTTGACAATTTAATTAAATTTTAGAAATTAATTTTAATTGTAAGAAATTTATTTAAGTTCTAGAAATTGATTTCAATTATAATTCTAGAATAGGTATTTTGGTATTAAATAGACGACAGGTGAAAATTTTCTTTTTTCTTCTTTATTTAGAGAGAAATTCTTCAAGCACCAGTAAAGATAAATTTTTGTATAATTAAGTGAAGGAATTTGGGTAAATTGTGTGGAGACAGATATTATTTTCTCCTAAATAAAATTAATTTCTATGAAAATGACACTGTATCTGGCAAAGTCAGTGTTTTCCAAAAAGCTGGACAACTGCCCTCTCGATAATAAACGATTCAATTATTTCTTCGTTACCCAAGACTCTGGAGCAACAGGCGAATTTTATGTAATACTTTCTAGCAACCCCTCTTCAATTTCGTTAAAATACATACACATCTCTCCTCAAAAGTAGTGAAATTAAAATTGAGTAAAATTGAAAGTAAGTTTAAGAAAAAAATTAATTGAGCGATTTCCATTTTTGGAGCAATTTGTTGCACGAATTAGGCAAACGATAAATTTCACTTCAAACTTTGAATTTCCTAAATAAAATTGAAATTTCATCGACGTGAATGAACCAAATTGAAACGAATTCAATTACATCACGTATTAGGCAAATGATAAATTTCACTTCAAACTTTGAATTTCCTAAATAAAATTGAAATTTCATCGACGTGAATGAACCAAATTGAAACGAATCCAATTACATCACGAAATAAGGGAATAAAAAATTTCACTCCAAACTTTGAATTTCCCAAATAAAATTGAAATTTCATCGACGTGAATGAACCAAATTGAAACGAATTCAATTACATCACGTATTAGGCAAAATATAAATTTCACTCCATACTTCGAATTTCCCAAATAAAATTGAAATTTCATCGACATGAATGAACCAAATTGAAACGAATTCAATTACATCACGTATTAGGCAAATGATAAATTTCACTCCAAACTTTGAATTTCCCAAATAAAATTGAAATTTCACCGACGTGAATGAACCAAATTAAAACGAATTCGATCACATCACGAATTGGGCGAATAAAAAATTTCACTCCGAACTTCGAATTTCCCAAATAAAATTGAAATTTCATCGAC